TAGACATTCAGACAGCATATTATGCTCGAAATCACTCTGTATATAGTGAGAGTGAACGGTTTTCAACAATTCTATCTTTCTAACTTACTAGCTCCTTTCCTCTTTCTGAAAGTTTCATCTTCTTTTGACATAGTATTTGCAATTGTCATTGCAAAGCTAATTATGAGTTAACATTCATATCACCTGTCTCTCCCTTCCTTCCTCCAGAATGCGTAATATCGAGGTGTGCCCGAGCTGTGTAGCTAACTGCATCAATGTCTTCGAGCCCTGACAAAAGAAAAATTGATATTTAATATAATTCAGACCTACCAGTATGTACATTTCCGACCTGTGTACACTGGAATTATGGATCTCATCTGGATAAAAAAGACCATTTATTTGTGTAAAATTAACCGAGTTGATGTGTTTTTTTTCTTCAAGCTTTAAATGGTATGAAATCATTACTTATTTAAAACTACGTTTGCCACTATCCGTTACAACATTTTCCCCTAATCATTACAAGATATCAGTATTGATATTTCCCTGATTGAAGATGCTTATAACAATAATAAAGACAATGCTATTACCCTTGATATATTGACATTGCACCAATATTCCATGACCATTTTTCTTACACGTGCTTCATCGTTATTCCGAACCGCGGTCCACAGGTCCGGCTAGAGGAACAGTAACAACAGGTTAGCATACCGTAGCATTCTAACATACACTAGCAAACAGTCTATGTAAACAAAACTTATAATGCAAATCTGGGTAATCAAAACAACGCGACATTTTAATGTATTTTTCATTCAGGTCAATGATTACAGTTTTTTTTTGACAAAAGAACAAGATTTACGTCGTTAGATGCCCTTATTTCTGCAACATAAATTGTCATAGGGAACGCAATCATCTTTGATTATTGATCTAACTTTCATTGCTGAAAATGAGAGAGAGAGAGAGAGAGAGAGAGGGTGTGGTGATGGTGGTGGTGGTGGGTTCTACAAGAAAAACGTGCAGACAAACCTCGTATTTTTCAAATATTTGAATCACTTCTTGTCTTTTACTTCTCAGGGCGTAGTCCTTTGCTATGCGTCCCTTCTACAAAATAAGACACACATTTTCTCAGATATTTCAAATGTTTTTTTTTCATATAGCAAAAATAATGACCACAGTGCATATCTGAAAGTAGAGCTCAATATCAAGTAAAGTAATGTGAATCAATGGATGTATATAAAATAATAATATTAGATACTACCTCATTGTCAATTGACAAATGTATAAACATAGTCTTTCTAAAAACAGAACTAAAAGAATAACTTAATTAGCATAAGAAGTTAAATCAAATCCTCTCTGGCAAGGCATGACATTTCACTTATTTTTAGAAGACAGGCATTGCTAAAGATAATCACATAATCATGCAGACCATTCTTTATAATAAATGAAATAAATGTGACAAGCTCTGATATTCAGACACGACAAATCAATATTTTATTACTCGCCTTATTCTTGATGGTAGCGTCTGCTCCAGACCTCAGCAGAGACTCCACAAGACACTCGTCCGTCCCCGGGTAGGCGGCATAATGGAGGGCAGTATTACCGTCCTGAAAATGAGGCGCGCTTTGTTTAAACAAAATGAAAGCTAGGCATAAGGCATAGTCATATAACATCCAAACACACGAGTAAATTAAAGTTTTGATTTTTTTTCATATTTCCAGAAAAAATAATCAATGCTTTCTATTTGAAGCTTTAAGAGGGAGAAATAGTAGAGGGGGAAGAAATACTTCATAAACTGATTGTGATATTTTCATTTTAATTAATGTCAAATCTAAACACAATCTTATTCATTCACCCAAAGAATACATACTTTAATTCTTACGTATTTCGGCGGTCCGTGCAATCTTTTCAATTATAGACTTTCTACAGATTTTAAGTACGACAAATGTATGCCAAATTATGGTTATCAATCATAGAACCCAATCTTTTGTGATACTTGAAAACTGCCCAATAGGCCTTTAATAGTTAGCCATAGAAATATACATAGCATGCGTAATTTTTCTTCTCAGATACTCCGGTACACGTACCTGCTTCATCCGAAGAGCATTAAGAAAATCCACCAATTCTTGGTCTTCTGTTTGAACAGCCTTCAATGTGGCTCTGCTTTCATTCTGATGCAAAAGAAATGGAGTGAGCACATATCATTTCGCATGACATGTAGATTCTAATCAATAGATCAAAATGAAATCTTCACATATATTGGAAAGACCTTGCGATTTGGAAAAATGTTTCATTTAAGAAAGTAGATGCAACGGGGGCGGGCGCTTACTTATTAAGCTCCATAAACCCGCTGCTGGATAGAAAAGAAAGTTGAGATGTCAAACATTTAAAAGAAATCTGATTGGAAGTGGATTAATATTCTAAAAGGACTTTTCGAAAAAAAAAAACGCAATTCTGCTGAAACATCAATATGCTCACTGCATATAAAGCAAGGCAAAAATAAAATCACGTTTTTGAAGTTGATAGATAAATGGGCATATGAATGAAATGATGTTTAAAATAAGTTCACAAACGCACCCAAGTGGCATTTACATCAATTCCTGCATTGACCAAACTGTAGATTTGTTCTTCGTGTTTGTTTCCCCACGACGTTAAAATATAAATCAAGCAGGTTTGTCCAGCCTGAAAGTAAAGTAGACATGATATTACCAACAGCTGCGACCCCATCGTCGTTCATTTCACCTGTTATTGCTCGTAGTTCAGCTGTGATATGATGGCTAGTTTTAATCGCTTATGGACTGAACCTTATATGGTAAGAACGGCATTGATAGAACGAATATGAGTATCTTCTATAAGTATCTGTGGTTGTGGTAGATCATTCCGCATATTTATATAAGGTAGTTTAAAATTTTAAAATCCTATCAATGAATATGACTTACCCGTCGAAAGTGATAAGTTGTAATTGTTCATCTTTGTAATCACTGTAGAGTTTAAAAAAGAGACCAGATTTTAATTATCCTTTACCTTATTTTTCCGGTTGATATCCAATCCTTTTGCTGGCGTGGTCAATGCATGCAAGCGTGTCCAATCGGTGGAGTTAGTGACCATAAGATCCATGTGAGTTTTGAATAGTGCTGGATCCTATATCAATATTCAATTGGATATTGAAAATAGGCAAGTATGTTTCGCTGTAAACTATGTCAAAAGGGGGGTGTAGACATAGGTATCAATAGCCATTATTACTGATGACCCTCACTTACATTTAGTGAAAACACGAAAATGTTTTTAAAAACTTCTTTTTTCATTTTCAATTGAAATCTCAAGCGAACACGACGCCTTGATCACTGTGGAATCCGAACAAGGGTCTAAAATGGAAAGATCCACGATAAAAGAATACTTACCCCGCGACAGCACATGGTCTTCATGGTGGCTTACTATTATTACACTGGACCGCGCCCTCAGCTTGGAAATGAAAAGACAGAAAAAGCGTTTCATCCACTGAGGAAAAATAACAAAAGGCGCCAAAATACTCATCCATTTCTGAGGAATAAGCACAATATCTAGGTGGTTTCAAATCCGAGATAATCGATTGGATAAATCTGGCAGCAAGGCTTTGAGAACTCTCACTGCAGGGTTATGTAGCGCTGCTGCACTGATAGTATGTTGGGAGAAATTATTTATATATATACAGTCTGCAGCAGGTTTCCAGGTGAGGGTCTCAGCGGGGAATTTTCTCTCAGGTGAGCAACGCTTATTATAACCTACAAATGCTGTTGAATCATATAAAACATGTTTTTGCTGTTTGTATATTCACTTTTAAAAATTGCATCTTATTGTGTTTCATTGACAATTTGATTTTATCCACAAGCAAAATTAGATACAGTCAATTCAGCCTGCCAGAAATCTGAATGAATGGATCCCCACTGTGCGAACCCGTTCACGTAAACTATATTTGGTTGTTAGCGATCGATACCCTGACAGAGAGTGCGAGGATCGTCGGCACCTGGTCGAGATACTGGAGATATCATATCGCTTTCAAAACAAAGGCCGGGGCATGCTTCCCAGGAAATATTAGCGCCAAACATTTGCAGTATTTTCACTTGTGAGACCCTGAGTTTCAGAGTTTACTAGAAATTTCTAGAAACCAATCTCTATAGTCAGCATCATGCTTGCATATCCAAGTAACACCATGAGTTTCAGAGTTTTGTGGAGTTTACTGATCGCTATTATCAGGATGGAAGCAGCAGAGGGTCGCGATGCATGTTGATAGTGGTGGTCATTTTTTTTAAGGTTCTAAAACTCGTGGTTATTTTGAGAATGTTTCGTATTTCGGTACAAACTGTTTCTACGTACTGTAGGCCACCTGGGAGGGGGGGGGGGGGGTGCGTAGTGATGGTTGTACACTGATGTTTGCGTGCGTGCGATGTAAACGGGATATTACCGTATCAGGATGCGTGATCAAGTTAAAGGTTTTGAACTATTCAAATTAATAATTGTAGTGATTGGTACAAATTTAGAACTTCAACGTACGTTTACGTAGTATCTTTAAAATATTTGTAATATTGCACAAGTTCATTTTTGGGGTCAAATTGTGATGAGCAGTAACGCCGACTAAATTTTATGTGGGTATATCTTTCTCTTGTGTCACATTTCCCACCAGTCTTTACTATAGCAACAGTGCGAAGTAAACAATATACATGTACATACCTGCGCAGAGTTGGTGAATTATTACACTTTCAACCCAAACCCGTAGTATTTGGATAGTGCTACCTGCATGCACAGCACAGAGAGAGTTCTGTTACCAAGTGTGCCGATCTTGAAAGGAAATGTCCTCTTGTTTATACTTGTATTCATTTAAATGTACACTTTCTATTGATTGAATGGGAACCTTTTCTGTTTATCTGAGGGGCACGAACTTTTATTAAAGGAACGCGGTGTTGTGATTTAGTGTGACACAAAGAGAACATTAAAAACATTGACTGAATCAAAAGCGAGCTGTTACTGTGCCTTACGCTAGTTTATTGAAAAGGACTGTTTATCAATACGAAGGAAATACTACCTCGTAAACGGTATTGATATTTTATTGAAGTAAACAGGGATAAGCTCCATCCAATGCTTTGAGAGAGAGAGAGAGAAAGAGAGAGAGAGAGAGAGAAATCGCAATGACAGAACTGCTTTATAGTAAATTAATTCAATTAAATCCATTGATTTTTTTAAAGATATTACAAAAATTACATATTTAATAAATTAAATACAATATAAATCAAGGCACAAACTGGCAACAAGACATACTTTAGGCATACATACAAAAGCAGCACCTTGGACTGAACTATAATTGTTTGAGCAAACACTAAAAGGTTACAAAAAAATACTTTGGCACCATTTTATGATCACTACCATAATTTCTCCTGGCAGTCAAACATGCCAAATTTTCTTTTACAGAGATTATGCTAATTCATGAATCAGATGGATCACTTAAGTATTATGAGCTGTAGAAAAAATGCACATCCTAAATTATTCTAAATGCCTTATATTGTCTAAAACCCCACATAACACAGTGAATGAACTGAATAACAATGATAAACATTACTATGAATAAACAACCAATACATTTTCATTGAACACAAGGGTAAAATGCTATGTGCCCTCTTGAATGCCATCAAATAGTTGCAAATAATTGAACTGACATAGACCTTCTGATAGCTAATCACCTCTGTGGGATTTCATAATCAGATACTGACTGTATATCATTCTGCATTATCATTTAAATGGCATGTACACTTACATTACTACACAAATGCTGATAATTTTAGTTATATACATATTCTCTTAAAGGTCATACTGAAATCAATGTGTTAGGAAGCATAACTAGGCCTGTAGCTAGCAGTTTCATGAGGGGTCATCTAAAATAGCAGACCTTTTTACCTTTTTATTTTTTATTTGGAACAGCTTGAAATGACATAGCTCCTAGATCAAATTTTGATTTACAATGGACCTATTATGGCCAAAATGGTAGTTCTTTAGGACCCCCCCCCCCATCCCTGCCTAGGAGCCTCATAAAAGTCAAGTACTTCTATCATAATTCACACTAAATAGTCATCTCAAAGTCAAAGGCAATGTTATCATGTCCCCAGTCCCTCCTATTATTGGCACCTGAATGTGCTGGAGAAAACAGTGGTTCTGTGGCATGATTCTGTGCACTATGTGTATGGTCAACTACACCCTCTTCCAAACCTACATCTTGATCCAGGGAATCGATATCAGTTTCCAGATATATTGTATGGTGGGTACGTTGCCCATCCACTCTGGATGTTCTTTCACTATGATCATTTAAACCATCACATGCATTATCCCGACTAGTTTGTGAATGAATTTCTTTATTAGAAACATTACCATATACAAGTGATGAAGAGGGAGCACGAGATGATGATGATGATGATGACCGTAGTTCTGTTTCATTTGAGCACCTGTCTGTAGAAGTCATGTCTGCCACAGTATTCTTCATTGTTGATGGAGACCACTTCTTGTTGGCAGTGTCTGATACATGTGTATGGAGAGGGTCCTGGGAATCATGGCCTGTACTGTCTGCACCACAGTCAGCAACTGTGGCCCTTTCACTGCTGGTATCACGGCAATGATTTATATCTGTCTCCACCACCCATATGTCAACCGCCTCTTCTCTTGCACGGACCCCAGGTCCCTCAGTGGCACAACTTGAATTCATCTGAGCACCAGTGCTGGCAAGTTCAGTTTCCTCTAAAGCATACAGGGTCGAATCTTGCTCTTGAAAATTGCGCATCGAACTCATCCTTGATCGACTGCAGTGAGGACTCGTTCTCTGTTTTTTGCGATTCTTATACCTTGTCCTCCCACAGGGAGAGTCGAAACTTCTGTCCACAGCACTATAGGGTGGAGGGGGCTCGTCATCTGTGGGGAGCATTCCTATTTCAGAGTAAGGTGGAGGGCTCCTTGCTATACTGATATACCCATTTTCCTGCACAAAGTGTATGTTTTGAGATAGATTAGGCACACAGCAGGTTGTGTTTGCTTGTGATTGACTAGTGGAAGAAACTGTGTCCCTGTCTCTCTGCGCCCTCGTTTGACGTTCCAGTGACTGCTGCCAAAAGTGGCGATTGGTGCGACTCCTCCTACGTCGTAGTTCTGACTGTGTCTGAACCTCACGAAGATGGTGCACACGGGCTCGGCAAAATGCTGTGATGGTGATGACTAAAATCAAGAAGAAAGCCACAGAAATGCCCATTGCTATATACAAGGGCGTTGATATACCTCCCTGCTCAGAACTTGGGGCTGAAATAACTAAAAGAAAGAAAATATATGAAATATAAACCAATGTAAAATTTAAAATAGTGACATCAAATAATGAAGAAACTTTCCAGAGAAAATATCACCTTAATACTAAGCATTCATCTCAACCTTTAAAGAGAAAAAGACAATGTGGACTGGTGTCTTACTATCACATTACCATGAAAGAGAAGTGGCATAAACTATAATACCAAGTCCCATCACACTTGTTGTAGCCAGGCATTCAAACATAAACATGGGGTTCAAATAGTGCAGAAAGATAAAAAAAAATTCACAGCATTTTTCAGAATTAAACTTACTACATCCATCCTCATCTTTCTGGTTCAGGCACTGGTGGTGTCCATCACAGCGGTCCATCAATGGAACACATTGACCATCACCACAGGAATAGTGGTCACTGTCACAAGATATTGAACTGTTGCCTATGGAGTTAAAGAAAGACATCATCCATAGTGAATTAAAAGACCTGAAGTAATTGATTTCCGAAAAATTAGGGCTGGTTGCACTCTTTAATTAACTTATCAATTTTGCCTGGCCTACAGTAACTAAACCAATTTTCAAAATTTAGGTTTCCCAATCTTCATGTTGCCAGTTTATATGTCGCAGACTGAAACAAAAGTCAAACTGAATTGTCCTGCATTTTCCTATGCCTCACCTTGCACAATAACCTCCACCCTCCCCTCCTCCACAGACAGGTTCTGATGTAGCACTTGGCATGTCAAGACAGCACTGTCCCTGACATCCACGGCCGTCAACCTTGTGGTATACTGGTTTATGGGGGTCTCCTGGTACTTGCTACCATACACCCCTCGCCAGTCCACTGTCCTAGGAGGCACAGTTGAACTCACACTGCAGTTGACATCTAATCTGGCTCCATACTGTACGAAGATGGGACTTCGTGGGGTAAAAATAATGACAGCAGTAGTGACATCTGAAATGGAAATTTGAAAAAAAAAATTATAAAATGGCTGCAGTTTAAATTAGAATTTTACACACATGTTTATGATGTACATATTGTTAAATTTCTTTAGTTCTGGTAAGGAGGTCAAAATAAAAATATCAAAGAAATTGTGAAAAAAAAAATGATATTTGCAACAGAGTACGTGCACTTGTCAAATTACAAGTCCCCCCCCCCCCCCTTAAACACTTTTGGAAATTCAACAGTCAACAAGATTTAGCACTACCGTGGGCACTGCTAGATGATCAGGTTAGTTAGCTCAGTCATTAATATTCTTTTATATCAACGTTCAATCAGGCATCAACATGCGCCAATGCAATCAACTTACCGAAAAATATCAATAAGTAATTTATGACACGGAGCAGGATCACACGACCAACCATTTCTGTCCCACAATGCCCTGCTTTGTTTGGGTTCAAATTTCACCGCCAGGTGGCAGTCGACAGTCTGAGAGCACATGGCTCAAGAAGAGTCGACCACAACAAAGCGGGTTATCTTCTTTCTTTAACGCAAGTTTTAATTTACTCAAGGTGAGTTCGAAAAGCGTGGTCAAAATTTGTAAACATACATTTATTACTTGTAAAATGCACTAAAACCACCATCCGGTATATTTTCGACATTTTTCAGAATACAATGCGCGCCCACTCACGTATGTGTACCACCCCGCTTAGACCTGTACTATATGTATAGATGGCAAACTGTGTCGTGTATTTTGATCTGGTCACTCATCCCCATCCTTCAAATGCCATTTTGAACGTGCCGACTTAGATATGTCCAGGGTTATGAGAAGCTTATCTTTATTTGTTGCTAACAATAACTTTTAGACGTGCTTGAATCAATTTTAATTGTTTGTAAGAGGTTTCTGTCATTTTCTTTGTTTCAAATTAAAAAAAAAAAAAAAGAAATACACAGACTCCAGTTTGACATGCGTTTAATTGACAAATCTTTGCATCTAAAAGCCAATACAGCATAGGTTAGAGTATACCTAAAATTTGTTTCCTTTCAATATGACACATTTAAAAAGTTTTTCACGCCTTCCTACAACCAAATTGGGAAACAAATACAATTTTTTGTGCTGTAAACTTTTGATGTACTCCTCCCTGTCATAAAGAATGTGCCCTTTCTGGAACCATATAAAAAATGCATGCAAAGTTGATGAGATTTGTGTCTTTATGTACATAAAAAAGTTAAATGTCACTGGAGCTTGATTCAGTATTATCACACTCTGAGGTCAAAAATAGCATGGTTCTTCCTAATTGAACTATGAATGCTTTGAATTCCACCATTTTTTCTTGTATATTTTTTAAAGTTGGCCTGCAAAAAAGGGGGCAATCCATTCTGCACCTCCTCCTCTCTCTGTCTGCAATTATTCAGTCTTTTCTAAATGGTCCATGTATGCACCAGTCACAAGGTCTTTTTTGTCTATACCCAACTTCTGCATGAGATCTTCGGCTATTGCCTGCCCTTCCTCAAGGCTTTGTCCGTCCTTCATCATTACCTTAAAACAGAACATGTCATCATTATTGTATTTCTCTGTTTTTGTTTACTAATAGCAACAAATTTATCTTCGGACAAAAGGAGATGAACAGTGTTTGCATAAAAAACTTTTTATCTTTGAGAATAGCAAATGAATATGAACTGCAGCGTTTCTAGCAATAAAATATTTGTCACAGTCTGATACCTCTAGCTCCATAAAATCTCCTAGGCCATTTACTTGGTCTACATGAACCCTTGTCTGTCCTACCATAAAGAGGTATCGGGTTTTCTTTACAACACCCCTTATACCAATGGCTTGCCTAAGCGTTTCCTAAATTCACAAAAGAAGAAAGAAGAATGTATAGTCATTTCAGTCAATCAGAATAAATCCTTTGCAGTATACAAAGTAATACTTTGAGCAAATTAACAATTAGTGACATTATGAGAACTTATCAAAAATAGATAAAAAAATAAAATAATAATAGGTAAAATATTGAATACAAATAATTGTTATTTTTATTACCTTAAAACCAGATGGATCTGGAATTGGTGTTTTCACAAAGTGACTGGATTTTGGACCCTCTGTATCTTCTCTTTCATAGTAAACCAACTCTGCACCTGTTGACTGTTAATAAGAGACACCTTATCTTTAAAAATAATTTATATACAAGAACTTTGTGTGAAATGAACATATACTGTATATACTAGTACACAGTAGTTCAGACAGCTTGGAATCCAAAGCTATATTTTTCCTGATGATACAGCAAAATTCAGTGTAATGTAAATTATATAGAGGCTCCATAGGAACCTGATGGATGTACCCAAATAAAAAATATTAATATTTACCACTTAAAGAAATCAAGCAGAGCAAGCTAAAAAATGGATGGAAATAAATTGACCTTTTATAAATTTGATCAGATATTCACAAACTTACCTGTCGACTTTTTTGCTCCCGTAATTTCAGCCTGCCATTTGGTGTGACAAAGAAGGTGTCCTCCTGAACGAGTACATCTGAAGAATCGCTCAAGCTGGCTGCCTTTGATTTTAGCTCTTCTAAATTCGTTACCTTCGCTTTGATCTCTACATTTGTAGGCATAATAACCGATTTATTTGAAAATTTAGCTAAATGATAATGCAAACAAAACAAAATTCGATTGCCACGCATTAAGTATTTTTAATGCCCAGCAAGCAAGTTGTGTTTCTTACTGAATGGAATAACGTATCAGTGAAATATGTCAATGTTGTTTACACTTATATTTCCCTCTTCTTTCGACCCACATGGCAGTGCTTTTTGATCTCCATACAGTAAAGAATGGCACCGCACTGTATTATTGCGCATAAAGTAGTTCCTTGTAATTTTACAGAATTACACACTTGTAAATTATACATCTTTCGTTTTTATGTTATTTTAGTTTTAATGATGCACATTTATAGTTAATTAATCAGATAAAACATAATAGAATGAATGTGTTTTGTATTTATGTTCGGTAGATTTAAAGATTTCTTGTTCGCCATTTTGAATATTCAAAAAATCGTTTCCTGAATTTCCAACATATGAAATTTTATGTCTAAGCTTATTGTTTTAAATAATGAGAATTCTTTAAAGCTGGATCAGGTCTTGGACATAATATATTTGAGTTTTTTACAAGATCAGGTAGGTATTTGCTGGGTTTACCGTGCTGTGATGCTTCTGATGTCGGTTCGTTGACGTAGCTAAAAAATCGATTAACTTTTTTTTTCGCCGTAACCTTAGCATTAAGGACACTGGCATGATAATTATTGATAACGAAAATTCATGATATCAAATCAGTTTTTATGCTGACAGGCGTCACGCTTTGAGACCGATGCTGACCCTCGACGGGATTTTGATTCTTCCCTTATTCATTCTGTTCATCCCGACAGCTGTGGGTTACGCAATCTGCGATGTACCAACCGATCGCATTTATTCGTGCTAGGATTTGGTGACAACCCACGAAAACCCACGAAACGGGAATCAAATGTTAAAATCACTGGCATAAATATCTTATAAAATACAATATAAACAGCATTTCAAAAACAGTTCAGTAGAGAGGCTTCCAGAAAATCGAAAAGAAACTTAGCAGTTTGTCATTGATGCAGAACATCAAATCTTAGCTGAATTGAAGTACATGCAGTAAAATATTATAAACTTTTATTTTCAGCCAGGATGGGGATTGAAGGGGGTAGATCTATCCCTTCTACTGGAATGACCCCTAAAGAACTGTGTGAAAATGATGATCTTGCAACCAGTATAATAGTCGACCCATACCTAGGATTTGTGTCGCACAAAATGAACACACGGTAATATCATTGCTGACACTGAAAGAATAATAATTGAAAGAATACATTTAAATTATATGTATAATTTTTTGGGTTTAAGTTAACACGATAGTTTGTTTTGGAGACTGATTAAGATTTGCCATGTGGTTTTATGAGCAAAACCTCCACTTATTACCACCATTGTAGCACACAGTGATTGAAAGTGATCCACATGCACACTGTAGCTGTGAAAAAAAGTCAATTCTGCCATTAAAATGTTGCTGGTAGTAAAATGGATTCATTCCTGATATACAGTTACTATACAACTTAATGGTGAACGTATGATATTTTAAGTCAGATTTTGATAATGACTTGTAGCCATGAGTGAAATGTGATAGAAATCATATTTCTACAATAATATGAAGACTATTATATAAATATATACTTTTCATAGTGTTAATTTCTTTGGGAATATTTTAATTTGATTATTTTGATTTTAGGTTCCGCCCAATCAAAGGTATGCAAGAAGAATGGAAAGGGTGTGTAGAGAGGTTCAAGAAGCACCAGTGTTATGAGAAAGCATACAAGGAATTGATGTCAGGAGACTGGGGAAGAACATGTTTACTCACCAAATCCAAAGCACAACAGAAAACAATGAAGGAACATGTAAGATTCAAGGGACAAATGCTGGACTAATTGACTTAGAGAATTAAAAATTAAAAACTGTAGAAATGTTTGATTTGGCATGACTTTGTTTAAATGAAGATGAACTGTGATAACTTGTTGATTGTCTTTAGTATTATCCATGACAAACAAAACTGTTTTGGAAAAATATGTAATTGTCTTCTCATTTCAGATGTTCAGGTTCCTTCAAATGTTTGATGCACAAGCTGGGTTTGAAATCATGGCATGTCATCGTTACTCTGCAGAGGGGGAAATGGGTGGAAAGCTAGTGGCAACTAGAAAGTGGTATGAACTACACATTAATTTGTAAATTTGTTAAACTCTTAATTCATTTACATATTGAATTGTTTTTGTTCACCTCATTAAGTCTACCTAGGCAGACATCATTTTAAGTCTCCGGGGAGAATCCCTGTAACTTACAGTTATTTTTGATGATTTTGAAACAGGAAGAAGCAAGAAAAGATAAAAATGCTAGTGGGGTGTATAGCTGAGCTGACAGAAGAAGAAGAGGCACAGATCTTAAGACCAGGGGAAAATGATTTCAGTGTGATGTACTCCTGTCGCAAGAATTGTGCTCAGCTTTGGCTAGGTCCTGCTGCCTACCTCAACCATGACTGTAAAGCCAACTGCAAGGTACCACCTATTCTAACTTGATTGCAGTGCCTAAACTAAATAATTTTCATGTGCTCTGCATTGTTTCTATAGATCTGTTTATGATTCATTGGTCACATATGAAAGAAGGAGGAATCTGAAAAAAGATATCAGAGTATTTTACCTAATCAGTCTGCCTGTGTATCATATCTGTTGGAGCTAGAGTATTCCTAGAAGAAAAAATGGTAACACAATACTGACATGAGATAAAAGATGATAAGGCTACTGAGGATGTTGCTGTCTTTGAGCAAAGTTATTAGCAAACCTGTTTAACCCAGAATTTATTATAATTTTTTTCAAAGTTTGTGTCGACTGGTAGAGATACCGCTTGTGTTCAGACCCTGAGGAATATTGATCCAGGAGAAGAGATAACTTGTTTCTATGGAGAAGATTTCTTTGGAGACAACAACTGCCTGTGTGAATGTGAAACTTGTGAAAGGTAAAACTGATTGACTGTTTGTCTCTGTCAATTAATTGCGGGAGTTGGGGAAATGGGAAATTTTCCATTTATATGATAATTATATCTCTGTCTTTATGTCATAACTTTGAAAATGGTTTATCATTAGAAGAGGTAGAACTGAAATCGCCCTTTGTAATTAAATAACTCTAAATGGTGCTCTTGAATGGGTTTATGAAAAAGTCACCTCTGCTTAATTTTGAAGACTACATGTTTGTTGTCAGATGGTCAGAGCTCATTGATCCCATTCATCATCACTCTATTTACATGTATACATTATTTTCATCTTGTTTGATATCATGTATGATGTATTATTTTGAGAACAAGTTTATTCTCTTTTTATAAGACTTCAGCAAGGTGCCTTCAAGCCAAAGCATACTCCTCAGAAAAAATTAGCCAATGGCTACAGACTCAGGGAAACTACTGACAGAATCAAGAGCAATCAGAATCAGACCAATAGTCAAAAACCTTCTGCAAAGTCTGTGATACCTGTACCAGGGATAGGTAAGGGTCATTGTGAAATTTAAATAAAGCGTCTTCGGTTTGTGTAAAGTTATGCTGTAGGAATAAGTGTAGGAAATATCTGCTGCAATGCAAAGTTCTACCCAAGATGTTTTATCATATGTTAAAAAACCTCAGTAGACTTTAGTGAATGTTGTGCATATGAGAAAAAGGAAGTAAATTAAGATGCTTTTTATTGGATTCAGTTGATAACAATTACTGATGCATTCTGTATTCATACTATAAACAATATTGTTTTCTTTCATCTATATTCATCTTGTCATCTTGTGTTTAGACAACTGGGATAAGCGGTCCAATAACCTGACCAAGCACGCACACCTTCTGACTAAGGCCGAGTTGAAAAAGCGAGGGATTACACGCTATGACGCGGAGATGCTGCTTTCTCAAGGTCACAAACTACCTGACCCTAAAGCTTTCACGGAGAGAGAATCAGGAAAGAGGGGGACAGAGAGTAAGATAGCAGACTTAGCCCAGAGAAGGGGAACAAGGGGAGACACATCACAAACAAGAAAGAACTTGTCTCCATCTCACTTTAGCTGGTCTCCTTCCAGGTTCAATGGTTCTCCGACAAGATTTGGAACTTCTCCCACGAGACGCACACGGTTTAATTCCTGTGATGCTGATTCAACAACGGAAAATTACGTAGAGAACAATATTGTTCGTAATGCATCACCATCTAGAATTACAAGGCGGATGCTTAGTGCCCCTGAGACATCCTTGAGATTGTATGACGATTCTGAATTCAAAGATGGAAGCGAGACTAGTGGTAGCATGGGAAGTGAACTGTCCGAGTCCAGTTCAGATATACAAGACATCGGAGCAAAACTTCGTAGCTCTCATGGGAAATATGGATTTCACAGTATGAACGGTGATGCAACAGATAGTCAATGTGGAGGAATGCTACAGCTTAAAATTCCCAAATTGAAAATCAAAATTAGGAGAGACCAGGATGATGAAGGCTATGAAATTTTGGGCACAACAGCATACAGACGTAAATCCAAGAAGAAAAAATCCAAGAGCAAGAAGCACAGGGACAAGAAGCGGTTTAGTGAGAGCTTTTATGCAGGGAGTGATGAAGAGGTTTTGGAGAGAAAAACTAATTTGAAGAGACTGAAGCTGAAGTTTGGAGGAGACTCTATTGACATTGACACATGTATTCCCCCTAGCAAAAGGCAGCGTATATATTAATGATAACCATGTGTTAATTTCTAAATTTTGATAGCGTAGATATTTTGCTGGATTCAAATGGTAACATAGGTTGCTGAAAAAAAAAGTTCTAGGCTCTTTGGTTATACTTTTTAGTAATTTGGTGCAATATCTTGGATTATTCTTGGCAAAAGGAGATCATTCGTTTGTTCTCTAAAATCATTAAGTGCAATTTACTTTCATTGTATGTTTTTTTGATGTGTTCCACCAATTTGACTTTCATCTTGCTGAAAACATGTACATTTCAAGCACTCCTATGTATTCAGAATCATCATTCAGTTCATTTTTAGGCATCATGGTTTCATACTTTGCTATATGGATATCAGTTTGCTTTCAAGAGCATTTGGAACTTGGTCTTAATAGATGTAGTACTATTAATGAATTAGTGTGGATCTCCTTTGTATTTGCAATTCTGTCAAATGTTAAGATGTTGCTTAAAAAAAAAACAATGGGTAAGCTTGTTTGGAAGCAAAGTCTTAAGAGAAGTTACCTTTCACTAAAGTAAATAAGATGACAATGCACGTTGATAAAAATGGTTATGTCAATATTGTTCTCCAGATGTTTGATACCAGCAAATACTGAGTTTCAGAAATTGCATTTCACCATGTTCTTATTCAAAACCAATGTATCACATATATAACACTGGTAGAATTGCAACTTACGGGATCACTGAAGTTCTCACAAATCTTTTCATTTTTTTACGGTACTTGTGTCAGAAAATTAACCATTCTTGCCAGCAGAGGGAGATTGTTGAATGCATTTTTTCTATGACTACATATTTATTTGGTTTGGATTATTACCTGAACTGTCACTTGCACTCAGTTTTTCCAATTTGATTTCATAAATTTTAATCTTGAACAGATGCTGTAGGCTTATTTACTCAGCATATTTAAAATTACAGTGCAAGTTATGATTAAATTAATTTTCTGGTAATTGCAGACACATTGCGAAAGTGTTCCCTAAAATTACTTTTAAAGTGGGGGTCTAGCGAGTGCAGTCACTCACATCAGTTGTCATTTGGGAAAGTACGAGCAACATATGCACGCAGTATTACATGTATGTACACACTGTATGCTGTAAGATATAGAATTTAGTAGTTATGAAAATGCTTTGGAAGGCATTTTATTTATGGTTTTTGTAGGCTTGTTGGAGAGACCATATGGATGTTTGCTAAAATATTGTAGCATTAATATGTTGGACTGGAGTGGAATGCTGAATTGTAAAGACCTGTTGTTTATTTGAGAATTGGCTTGTGATAACCATTTTTATTAGAGATTTTTTTTAAAATATCAAACAATGTCATAACCTCATTCATTATAAAAGATTCATGAATAACTACAGGTTATGGATTATTTAAACTCACTGTTATGTAAATTATTTCATTGCAACTGTTTGACTTGAACGTAAAACATTTGGAAAGTGCTGAGATTGTGAATTGTGCTTGTGAACAAAATTTGAAATAGTAGTTTTTGTAACTGAGTTGATATTATTTGCTGTTTTATTATATTATTGAAACATTTAGAGCCGTGAAGATGTGTATGAATGCATTTCATAAATCTTTGAGAGTTGAACATTAAAACTATTGAAATGTTAATTATCTTTGGTTAATAAATGCTAAAACATATGAATCCAGGATTTTACTATTGGTGGAGGGCTAGGGGCGCAGAGTTAAAAATGTTTTTTTTTTAATATATGTAAATGAAAAGCTTGACATTAATGTATGTACAAACTATATTTAAAAAAAGGAAAATAAGGATTGGTAATATGGATACATCTTAAAAATGTGCATTTTAAATCTGTGCTACAACTTATTTAACAGTTTTGCATGTACATTACCTCTCGATCCAATATAGTTTAGTCTCTTATGTTCAAAGATACTTATATTCAACACAGTCTACTGTATGAAGTTTGCTACATGGTATTTATTTTCTTTTACATCTTGTAGATAGTCGATCTTACCTGCTGTCAGGTTCATCATGATCTCAGTTTACTAAGTTTTGGGAAGTAATTAGCAGTGTATTGTATTGTTAGTCAATTATTTGTTGATGAATAAAATCTCAGTTTAAATTCCTTTAAAGTATCTGGCTGTGCTCTTTTGTGTCTTAAGACAATTTTATTATCTCATTTTTCATAAAAAGTACTTGGAATTAAGACAGTGAGACCTTTCAGAACAAGTTAATCTACAGACTAACAGATCTGCCGACTAAATATGGCTGACTCACATGTAGGCAGTGCTGATTAAGTCCATGGCCTCCCCGCCTCCACATGCTGTCGCTGCAGGGGGCCATCCAATTAAACCTTGGAGCTAAGATTTAAGCCCTTTAATTTTGTTGATAGAAGTGAAATAGGAGTGTAAATCCCCATTTAGAAAAGGGACTAACTAGTCCGAGGGTCAAATCTGATGACCTGCTAAAAAGCTCGTTGCCTAATCGACACTGAATAGATATCCTGTGGGGAAGTATTAAAGTGGATCGGCCATATTTGTCCCTCGGACTAGTTAGTCCCTTGTTCTGAATGGCCCCTGACAAAAGAAAAATTGTGTAAACTGTCTCTTTATTCAAGGTGAACAGTGATAATAATTTCATCAATGTAAAAAGAAAGTGTCATTTGTTTTAAATCTCGGACTAGGCTAGACCAAGGCATTAGATTTCTATCCAATCATTCCTTGGGGAGAGCTACCTCAAAAGCAATGGATGATAAAAAAAAAAAAGAAAAAAGAAAGAAAGAAGAAGAAAAAACTTCTTCTAAATTAAAACCTGCATAGAGTTGCCGAAAAATAATAAAATTTAACAAGATTACTTTGTAAAGTAAACAATATTTTAGAAGGTGGGAGTGGTTAGTTATTTCAACGCTACCAAATGGGGATTTTGGACTACCGATCTTCAATCATGGGAGGTTGTCAAGTACAACTACCGCAATGGAGATGTGACGTCAGGTTTTTACCACCCCAGTCGAGAAAACAAGATATACATGCATTTGGTTTTAGTGTTTAAAGACCAGTCTGTAAGTCTGCAAGATCACAGTTCACTACAAAACAGTAAAATACTTGAATTATACTCTTGGTGGCCTAAAAATTATTTTGGTAGCTTCATAGCTAAAGAAGCAATAAATATCGTGTTGCATGGATTGTGGTAAAATGAGTCGTGCTCAACACACGTGAATTTGCCTTTATTCGAGTTGTTGCTGTTGAAAGGATGCCTTCTGCCGCTGCGAAGAGCGACGTTAAGCCCGTTTTTGAGGGCGACAGCCCCATCAAAGCTGCACTTATCGTTGTGGATAAGAAAGTTAGAAACCTGGAAAAGAGGAAGGTAAAGCCAATTCGATCGATTATGCCTTTAGTCACATAATTGACAATTTTTAAATGAGGTGTAGTAGACGATGGTTTTGGAATGAATGAAGTGAAAGACGTAAGACCAAAAAGAAGTTGAAAAACGTTGAGTAACAATCGGGGAAATTTTAATGTTTTGGTGTAAAAATCTTACAAGTGCTGATGACGTTGCCCTTAGATCGGATATATGCCCTTTTGGCTTTAGTTATTCGAAGGTTTGTAATTGTAAGGGGTTGGGAACCAGGATATGAAAAATGCAAAATGGCGGATGCGGACATGTGCTCGTTCGATCTGTCATCTCTCAGTGGACAGACACTCGAAGTTGATTCGAAAAACTTGAATATGTTTTGAAGCCAATTTTGTTGTCACTGTTGACTGTTCACTGCATCATCTTCCGATCAGACTGAAATGTCACCCTGTCACTTGATCAGAACACACTGCTGAGTCAGCCTTTGTTTACGATTCATTTACATGACGTAGTTCTAGTTAATAAGGTGAAATGAAATTGTTACTGCTAAATATATCTCCAACTGCGGCTCTTGCTGTTCACTGTAATTGCCATAGCTTGTAATTGAAGTAATGGGTATGGTGTGGTTTATGTTGATTTGAAGTTTATAAAGATTTTTAGCAAGGCTATATTTGAAGTTAAAGCAGGCTACAAGGGGTGTTTTAAGGTCATTTTGTTTAACATCAAAAGTGTGTTGACAAGATCTTAATGGTCACTGTTGTTTGTAACTGTGTAAGAGAAATAGTTGTTTGTAATTGATTATTACATTGTGAAAAGAATATCTAACTATATTTTATGTTGATTATTAAATTACAGGGCAAGCTAGATGGTTACCGTGAGAAATACAACAATGGAGAAACGCTCAATGAAGACCAAAAGGTTGGTATTGGTTTCTATTTGCATTTTTTTGTGCTTGTCCCTGTCTATAGTGATATTTAGATGCATATCTGATATTGGTTAGTTCTTTTGGTTGTATTGTAGGTTTATTTTATGCTATGCCTACTATAAGGTCTGAAGTGATTTTATTGACAAACCATTTTTAAACAGTGAAAATGAATTCAAATATTTAACTATAATTTGTTCATTAAATGACCATATAACATTCCTCTTCCCTGCAAAGTCCTGTCACCTGGACTAAAAATACAGCTTGATATGAATAATAAGAATTAGATTAATAGATAATTGTCTTTCTATCTAAAAATGCATGAAACAATTCAACTAAACTTACTTGGTTCGTTTAAAGTTTTTTTTATTCTTGAATGTTTTTGATTTTGACATTAAGACTTCCTCTCCCTATATACAGAATGTGCACTAACACAAGCATGGTGTCTTCTACAATTTACTAATGGAAACTGTTATATTAATGAATTACCTGAAGTTAAGCTATCTTCTAATGGCTTCCCACGCAGACAGACTACCAAACTGCTGCATTATTGAAAGTCGGTGAATTTACTAGTATTCATCTTAATTGTAATTGAAACTTCTAATCACGTTTAAATTACATCTCACAGAATTTTTCCTTTGTTAATACAATTTACGTACATAGGGTAAGGAAATATCTGGGTGTTAATTTCATCACATTGAAGATGGCACAACTCATTATTTTTTAAAAAATCATACAGGTTAATAATCATAACACATTTTACAATATTTATGTACAGCAATCAAGCGAATTTTATTAGATCCTGGTTATCTTAAAATTAGTACATGTACATGTGGGATTGAAAATTGTCACATCATGTGGTAGGCTTGATCAATTTGACTTAGACCCCATTCCCACAGATTTTAGATCGATCTATCCCTGTGGAGAGTCCATTAGATTGCTGTCAGCTTCGCCAGCTTAAGCAGCTGTCCCGCCTACTAAAAGCTGTAAGGGAGTAATTTAATGTCGTGCCCGCTCGGCTGACTGCAATTTAGCGTGAACCTCCTGGGAGTTAGGTCGATCCGGATGGATCGATCTAAATCTATGGGAATGAACTCTTAATTTGTTCCAATCAATATGTCAAGAATTAGAGATTGTTGTCGTTGTTGAAGCTAACTGGCTTTCTTACTATCTAATCAGGTGGTGTTCTTGAGAATATTGCATCAGCTAAGTCTTGATTTTTCTTAGTCCACCTGTTCAGTATACTATCTCAATATTAATATGCTGCGGCAAATGAATTACTACTAGTGAA